TTTTTCCTCTAAGTCTCAAATTATGTAAAAATCAAAAAGGACAGAGTGGCTATCTAAGGGGAAACAAAAGTTCTAATGATTTGACCTTTCCCAGCAACTCCTGGGGCAGATAGGCATTCCGGGGCTTAAAGAGAGAACCCGTCTGGCTCAAAGTCAACACAATGGCACCTCCGTGCTGAAAGAAAGGAGAAAAAGCTGAATTAGAAAAAACTGGAAAAGACAGACAAAGTCTCAGGAGATATGCCACACCTTAAGGGGACTGAAATGTAATGCATTATCCAGCACTTTCTTTTCTCTAAAGCATACTGGGATATTGGTTACTAGTTCTGCATTTTGGTTCTAACAATAAATTGCTACATGACCTTACATTAATTAAAATCTTTTCCAAAGACTGTAAGTAGGTATATAAATTTGAAATACTGAAAGCAAAGTAAAACCGCACCCAAATTTTAATAAAATGGTTTTGAATAAGCATACTGTAGTCATTTTAAAGATCAGAAATCAAATACATAGATTTTAAATTTGGTGGAATTGAATAATACATTAAAACGTTCTGTCCATAAAATCAGAGACTATAAAGTATAAGCAACAAAATAGTCAAATCTTTAAAATGAAAATATGTTCTGAAATCTGTTAGGTATCATATGTACTTACCCAATCATTTTTCAGCATTTTCCTCATGTTGTAAATAAGTGCTAATTCCTCTGGGGCAATCTGCACATTGGTTGTGAGAGAAGGAGGGGAGAGTGAAAGCAGGGAGCAAAAGAGATCACTACTGTCCCACTGAGACAAATGAATCGACAGCTAAACAATCTTCAATTATTATATACTTTTAGTTCCTGGAAAGTCAACCCCTGAATTAAGCCACATAGCGCTGGGGCCACCACTGCCACATGCCTGGAGGTTAGAAACAGTGACCAAGGGAAAAAATACCCACTGCCTCAAACCACCTCCCTGATGCTTCTGACATCCGTGCTTGCACTCAGAGCCTCATTTTGAAAAGAGAATACAAAGAAAAAAATTGACAAATCATAGCTTCTGCTGTTATGCTCTTTTCAAATTACTCTCAATTCTGGGTGAATGGTGGGACTTGGCATCACTTTCTCCTTCTGATGCTACTTTCACTATATATCTTACTTCAAATACTCCTAGAGCAAGAAAATAAACTGTATAGTCCAGAAGGTTATGTCATGGCCGAGGTAGGGGACCAAGAAATCAGAAAAGTAGAAAAGAGAAACCCAGTTTTCTTACCAGGGTTTTATCTTCTCTTTTTAGTGTCGTCCTTCCCCAGAGAGCATTGACTCCATCCACTGCCACCAGAAGGTGGAAAACACCCAAAGAAGTTTGCCTTTTTAGCTCTTTAAGCACAATCCCAACTGCATCTGTGGCACACTTCACTCGTGTAATGCCCTATGGGGAAAGACACAGTGGCTTTCAGCCCTAAAAGGCTTCTCTGTCCAGAAATATACATAACAGTGTCTCTCTTAATACCTGTTCAACCACTTCTCCCAAGGGACTGCCTTTCTCTGTGGTTTCTCGCTTATTCCAGACATACTTCTCTTGAACTTTTATCTAAAAACAAGCAAACAAACAAAAAAGCGTTACTTAAGACTGAACCCACAATTGAGGTTATCAGGAGTTAGTTGTACTTTTCAAGACCTGTGGACTCACTATGGTTTTCTAGCCCATTTCTGCATGGAATTTCATTTATTATTTTTAAAGATTTCATTTATTCTGCATACAGAATTGGGGTACAGGTCAGAGGTGCAGAAGTGGTGAGAGGATTTACCAGAGGCAGGGCGGGGAGCAGAACAGGCAGATCGATGAAGTACACTGCTGAGGGGAGCAGCAGATGGGTCAGGAGAGGTCTGCCGTGCCATGTGGGTTAGCTCCCTGGCTGGGGATCATACTCCCAGTGAAGTGGCTGTGGTGAGCTTCATAGTGCTGCGCTTTAACCCGTTGTGCCATCAGGGAGGGCCCACTGCATGGCATTTTAAAAGAACAAATAAGGGATTCTGAGAGAAATGGTCCAAGATGAGTCTTGGTGTTCACATTGACCTAAACCCCAGTTCTGTATGCACAAGTAAATAAATCTTAAAAAAAAAAAAAAAAAGTGTAAAATACAAAGTCTTAGGAGATAAGCTGCCTTGAAGGGGGATGAAAGAAGACATGACAACTGAATGCAATGCATCATCAAGCAATTTCTTCTTCTCTAAAAGATACTGGGATAGCTAGCAAAGTAAGAACAAGTTCTGTAGATTGGCTAAAAGCATCACACTGATGTCGATTTTCTGATTTTGATAATTTGTGCTGTGGTTACATATTAGAATGTGTTCGGTTTTAAGAAATACACATTTTTTTTTT